TATATATATATATATATATATATATTTATGTTTAGTCAAAATTCAAATATTAGCAGCTAATTAGCTTTAGCACTTCTGGGGCAACTTGTTGCACTTCTCTAAAAATATCATCATATTTCTGCCAGACTAATAATGTAATTGAAAATTAACAGGAATAAAGTTTAAAAAGGAGTGATTGGATAATCATCTCTCAAACCTTTTGATCTCACTAGCCATTTGTTTGTAATTTCTGTCAGATTTAACACCATTTCTCTAAATTAAGGTTATACAAAGAAGTATCTATAACAAGAAAGACAGTAAATGTTACGTTTTCATAGAACTCAACTTCAAAAGATCTGAACTCACCCATTAGGACTTTTATAATCTATTGTTCTAGTTTCTTAGAATAAGCAAGTTTGTAACACAGTAGTATTGTATAACATATTGTGCTTTTTATTCATTTTATTTGGCAACTTTCAGCATCGTTTAGTGTGCAAAGCATGACCGTGTTAATAAGTAAAACAGAGCGAGGAGGTAGAGTTGTGCTTGTGTGTGGACGCCTGCTGTCAGGCCCTTCTGTCAGAGTGAATTATTGCTGATCCCGCCACACGTCCAGTGGGGAGGTGCTTGTTGTAATTCAGTCCTTGCAGGAGTTCAAAATGTCATCTGGCTCACCTACCTCTGCGTGGACCGATGTCCTCTGCACAGACCTCTGCAATAAAAGGACAGTTAGTCAAACTGTACAGGGTTACTAGTGAAATACCTGTATCAAACTGTGTTTTCTTGACAAAAAAAGACACTGCAGCAGCAATACTGTCCATCCACAATGAATAAACTGAGAACAATTTTACTGATCACAACAACAAGAAAGTTCATCACCAGTAGTCCTGTTGCATTAAACAATAAATCAATTAATTGCATGATAAATAAAAATTAACAATATCATTTTAATTTATCGGCTCTATCGTTTCTTTCTACTGAAGACACTGGATGACAAAAGGCTAAACTCCGGTACTCTTCACTGACCCCTCCCTTTCTCTTCTTTCTCTTTTCTTTAAAATCTGTTTTAACCGTCCAAAAATCACATTTTTGGATCGTTAAAAGCAGCTAAGCTGAGATGCTAAGCTACAAGATAAGCTAACAGGCCAACCTCTGGAATAAACCTCTGTCTTGTCGAAGCTCCAAAATTCACAATTAAAACCTGTGCCTTTGTGTAAAAGTTGTTTTTTTTTTTCTCTGCAAAAAGAAGCTGAGAACTTGTTTATTGATATTTTATTAAAAGCGTTGTGTGAAAAATGCTATGCTAAAGAGCTCAAAACACCGATCGTCTGCCATTTTGAGAACCGAAGAGCGACAGCCCGTGTCACGTCAAGGGGCCTCCCTCCCATTTTTCTTAAAGAGGAATGCTGCTCGCTCCCTCACTATCCATCTTTCAGTTCAAACAGTCTGCCATCCAGTGGTCAAAAAAAGGTACTACACGCGAAACAAATTAAACATTTCTTCTTAAATTTGACAACAATTACTAATTATTGTCAAATTTCAAACAATATTATCGTTTATCGCAATAATTTCTGAGACAATTAATCGCCCAGCGAAAATTTGTTATTATGACAGGCCCAATCATCAGTAAAATAAAAAGGCCAATTAGGACACGCTGTGAACTGCATTTTAGTTTGAATGTCGAATCCTTTTTTTTTAAATGTTTGATGTATTATTATTCATTTCCTCCTTTGTTTACTATAGTTTTCAATTTGTGGTTTTATGAAAGGGTTTAGAATAAAGTATAAGCTTTACCAGAGCCCATTTTTCATCCAGAGAGAAATTAACTGCACATTACACATTTCTTATCAGTGTCAAGGATCGCGGCTGAGCTTTCCATTCGGCTACATTCCAACACTTTTAGCTCATACGCTTGACCCCTCATCCCCCTCCTGCTGCTCTTCCTCGACTAATCAATAACCTGCCTTGATGAGTGGAGACTCCCTGTCACCATCACCTAAGCCAGCAGTAATCAATAAAAAAACAATACCCATCTACTTCCACGAGCTCCGAGCCCATTTGTTTTTCTTGTTTATCAGTGACAGGTGCTTTTCTATCAAAATGTCTTCAAACAGCCAAGAAAAGGCGTATGAAGGGGAGGGGGAGGCGGAACAAAAGCAAAACGCAAGGAGAGTCGTCATTAGTTCAGCATCTGCTGAGTTCGGCGCGCAGATGGCTACGCTTTAATGTCTGTTGATAATAAAGCTCAATTTACTGAAGACGTCAAGAAAAGTATAAACATTGCA